ACAGAATGGGTAGACTGGCATGTGCTCAGTCAAGACAAGTAAACCGTGGTCAGGCTTTGTAGGAGTTGTCTGGCCACTTCTGCACAAGAAAAGAGAAGAACATGGACAGTATTCAGTGTCTGTGGGCTTGGACTGGCTGAAATCCTGTGTTTGCCCAACAAGTGCCTCTCTAGGCTGCCAGAAGTTTTGGAGTGTTACACTGGAAGGCCAGTGACCAGCTCTGTTGTACAAGTCATAGTGTTTTAACAGCGTTCTCTTAATCATCACTTTGGATTCGGAAGTGCCACTTCAGCTAAAGCTCTGCTGAACACACAGAGGCCTGATAGGATAAAAAAACCCAGATGTTTGTTGCTTGTGGTGACCTCCTCTGATATCCTGACTGCGGGAGGAAATTCTGCTACTAACCCCAGCGCTTACCTGTCTTGGGAACATTGGTGTAGGAGAAATGTCTGTAGTCTGGCTATCAACACGTTTCTGAAGAAGGCTTCAATAACAAGACCCTGACCACCACCCCGTCTACTACCCCACAGTCCTGCCCCATGGGTGCTTGCGAGTAGTGCGAATGAGCCATGGCAAAGTCGGATGGGACCCCTGTTGGACTTTCATGCTTTCAGGCATGTGAGGCAGCGCTGTCAAGCAGGTGGAGCATGGGTCAAATAGCCAGAGCCTCCATTGCGCTGATCTCAGCTGGGTCGCTGATCTGCATGGCCTTTGATTTAATCACTCTGTGCCTCAGTTTCCCCATCTCTGAGTATGGGGAGCAGGATACCTACCTCACAGGGGTGTACTGAGGCCTCTCACTCTTGTTGGTGCCGTGCTTTGGCAATACGAAGCCTTTTATAAACATTAAACTGCAGTTATCTTTCCTGGTCTGGGATAGGAACAGAAATCTTCAAAATGTCATCTTTTGGTGCTTTTTTTGGGCTAGAAGACAGGTGATGATAACTCTAGCTGTGTGCAGGAACAGTGGAAGATGGTTCACATAGAGGGTGATTAAAAGCCTCAAGGAGAGCTGACTTAAGTTGAATGCAGTTCTTGATCTGCAGAAGATACTGCGTACCTTAGATGAGATACTGCCTTTCTTCTCCATCTGGAATAAAACCAGGGTCTGCAGATAAGCCCCTCTTAGTTCATGAGAGCTGACGGGGTGTTGCAGTTAGCTTGAATACAAGTGGCAGAACCTGGTCCTTGAATCTATGAAATGAGACTGATGGATGAAATCCAAAGAACATTCAGAGAAGGATTTAGATGCCCCCTATACAGGACATTTCAGATGCTCTGAATTCAAAAGATAATCCTGGCTTTTTCAAGTGAGCCTGAGGCAGGACTGCCTGCACAGGAAAAGTGCACAGCGTAGCCCTGATGTTAGTTTTCAGGTGGAGGTCAGCATGGAGGAGTTGAACATGGATTATGTCCCAGTTCAGCAGGGAGGAATCCAGGTAACTGGGGAGCTACTGGCCCCACGCTGTCTGCAGGCTGTTGAAAGCTCCAAGTACATGGTGCGTTCAGGCCCCCCTGTATGCAGCTTTTATAAAAGAGGCCATTTCTGAGTTATCTGTCACTATTGCTATGACAGCCTGCAGGTTGTGTGGGAACAGCCTTTTGGGCAAACTCAGTTCTGCTAGGATCTTCTGTGATGATACACATTTTCAGCCCCCGTCTTCTTGTGGGCTGAGTTTCTGGGATTTCAATGTGCCCAGAGCAGTTTTTCAGAATGCAGGAGCTTTTACATGTATTTGGGTATCCGTTTGCAAGCTGTGGCTTCCTTGCCTGTGTCCAGGTTGTGGAGTCTCCTCTGGAGATAATCAAAACCCACCTGGATGCCATCCTGAGCAATGTGCTCTAGGTGACCCTGCTTGGCAGGGGGGTTGGACTGGGTGATCTCCAGAGGCCCCTTCCAACCTCGGCTGTTCTGTGATTCTGTCCTACTTTTCCATGAGGAACGGTTTTTCAGAATTGGAGTCCTGAAGCAGGCAGGTGGGTGCCTGTTGTTCCTAATGGTGTTCTTGTGGTGGAGATCTGCTGATAACATTTCCTAGCAACCACAGGTTATTCTCCTAGGAGATGCTGTATTAATAATACATAAAGTTTGCTGAAGAAAAATAAAAATCTGTTAAAAGCAGATAGAAAATAACACATTTGTTATAGTCCTTCAGACGTAGGAAATGTTTGCAACGCATCCTTTGATTTTTTTTTTTTTTAAGTGGTGGGAGAAAAATCTGTCAGCGAGATGTTCCTGTGAGAATTGGCTTGGAGATGAGCGAGGTGGTGGAATTGCTCACGCCTGCTCAGGTGCGTGCCGAAACGTTGCGGTGTATTTCTCTGTAAAGAGTCTTAATACGAGTTACAGATCTCTTTACAAATATTGCCCCTCTTTGTAACGCCGAGTGTTTAAATCCTTTGTGTTATCTGTATTATACTGTATAATTGTGTAAGATACGTATGTTTACAATAAATCCTTTTATTAGCTGTGATAGGATTGTCTGACTGTCGCCTGCCACTCAAAGCAAGTTCCTCAGAATTCACAAAAATAAGTGTTGTTTTGTTTAATGCTTTAGTTCTGGATAACATCTGGTGGAATCTGTTCAGGCACTGGGAACACTTCTTGCTCTTCCTTTCCCTTCTCTCCTGCCCCCACTGTCCCCTCATGGCGGCCCGGCTGGGGCTGCTCCTGTCAGCAGAACCGGCCAGAACCCGTCCGAACCGGCCCCACCCGGGTCAGGGCAGCGCCGCCCTCTCCTCACAGAGCCCCTGCTGGTGCCTGGGCACCGCCACCTCATACAAAAAGGGCTGGAGAAAAGGAAGACAAGGGGATTTCTCAGTTTTCCTCAGATTGCAGGGGTTGACTGTGAGTAGACTTCACACTCAGTTGTCTTTCGGGATGCTGCAAAACTTGTTGTTTGTACTAAATCCCATACAAGCGGCCTCCTCAGTGTGAGTGTAGGCTTTTGCACTGCCAGAGCCAGGACCGGCCGACAGAGGCTGACAAAGCGCTGTGGGCTGGCTCCTTGACGCCAATCCCCTTTGGGATCCTGATGCCTCCCTTGGTGCATTGTGGCAGCCCTGTCCTCGCATTCATAACCTACGCGAAAGAATGGCAATGTGGAAAGTGGAAATGTAATTGTGTAGAGCTCCTCCCACAGGTGTGCATTTATCCTGCTTCCTCGTGCTCCACCAGCCAGCCCTTGTAGCGAGAAGGGGCTCTGCCAAGCAGCAGCTATCCGGCTCTGATCTGTAGGCATGTGTGTATCCTGCTCTGGTCCTTCCCCACTGGCAAAGGCCTGAGAACATCGGGCTGACCTGTAATGGGGTGCCCAGAAGAAACTGAACCATCTGCTCAAGGAGATGAGGTCCTTGGCACAGGAGAGCCTGCACCACCCAGAGCAAGGGATCGTCTGTCCATTCTGTGCCACCTCTGCCCTGAAAGCACACAGCCTCTCTGGGGTGAACAGTACCAACAGTCAGTTGCTGTAAAGCAGAGTGGCCCTTAGGATTGTGCATTACATTGGCAGACAGTACAGAGATGATCTCTATGAATACGGCAGAGGTAGAAAATTCATATCTGATATTTCATGCCCCAAGAAATTTCATGCAATGCGAAGAGAAATGCACGGTTTATAAAAGGAAATCATGTTATGCACAGAAAAATCATTAATGTGCTGCTTGTGAGCTTTCCAAGTCCAAGTGATGAGAACTGGATTACTCAGAACAGTATTTCACATCAGAGCTTCACCTGAGCATGCAAAGTGCAGGGTGTTCCCAGCTCCCTGGCATAACCAAGGCACAAATCGCTCTCTCAGCATCCCAACAGGCTAGCTATCCCTTGTCAGCAAGACTAGTCGAAACAAGCACGTTCAGTGTCATGCTGTAGGTAGTAAATAAAAAGCTTCAGGTATAAGACTTTCCTTTTAAAGGATGTTTTTCTGTGCATCCAATAACCACTATTTCCAGTGTGATTCGCAGTTTGAAAACACAAGATAGACTTGTATGTTAACCTAAGGCAACTGGGAAGACAAACGTTAGTGTGAGAGCAATGTTGGAAGATGTCCCAGCATCGTGACTCCCTAGAGCCTGCAAAATCTGTAGATCTGCCCTCTTCAGAGGAACTTGGGCTGATACCTTTTGATTTTGCTAAGGTGGGCACTTCCTGTGGAAAAGCAGATGTGTTGCAGATGTCAGCAGCCAGTTGCATCGCTCTGTCCCTTGCAGAGGTAAGTACCTGCTTGGTTTTCCTTCTGTTCTTCCTGATAGTTGAAGTCAGGCAACAGCACCATGAGCCTTTGGCTTTCTTCCAGAAGTCTCCTGAAGCATCACTTGAGGAGCTGGCATTGCAGTAGACAGGGGAATTAGTTGCACAGTCAGCACTTTCCTTACTTACTCGATAAAATGTTCTTAGGAACAATTGCAAAGCTATGGTCCATGTTAAAATTGAAAGCTAATATAATTTTCCCCTGATCTGTGTGAGTGAAACTAAGGTCAAACAGTGTGTTGCTTGTCCATTTCTGTTAACCGGGCACGTGCTGTGGGCACCACTGAACAGGGAGTCCTGAGAGCATGGTATCTGCACTAGAATAGGTGTAGCCTTGGTGTGTCTGGTAGTGGAACGCAGCAAATCAGTGTCAGTGGTTCAGCCCCCTTTTCCCTGTGTTGGTGAACTGCATGCTGAATAGCTTGCTTTCCCTTTGAAAATGTCTGGGAAAAATCCCACAAGTAATTATGAATTCTGCAGCTTTCAGCTCAGCACTTAGGTCACAGCTTGAAATGTGCTTTGCAAGCCATTGTTACCGCGGGGAGCTGTACCTGCAGATAAGCTTGAGGAATAAGGAATTGACTGCTGATGGCTGGGAATGCAGTCAGGGATCTTCCTGGTGTCCAGTGTGCCCTGCTGTCCTGCAGGTGCAGCTGTGAGAAAGAAATGCAGTGACAAATTGCGCTGCTGAGGTTGAATATCCAAGGGTTATGTTTTACAATTTAAAAAAAATGCTGGGAAAGAACCAATAGCCAAAATACATTTTAATTTATTAAATTAAATCCAGTCCATTTGATAAAATACAAGCTCATTATATTTCCAGTTTGTTTAAAACTGGGTTGATTTTTTTAGAAATACACTGAATTAAGAGGAGAGACTTTATTTTCTTCTGTTAAAGCCCAGGATTGAAATGACTGAAATTGTTTGAACAAAACTGTTAAAAACATTATAAAGAGGTTAATCAAGCAGATTGATTTTTTTTTTTTCTTATAAACATCTAACATGCAAAACATTTAGTACGGTTTGAATGTTTCAAATTAATTCCTTGAAAAATGAGTCTCCTGAAAAATGATTTTGGCAAGCACTGGTATTACTGTACGTTCCTCTGGGTCCAAAAGCAAGAGTGAGTGGGAGAAGTGTCATCCCATGTCCAACCAAACGCAGCTTGCTGCAGATGTTGCCTGTTCTTGTGGTTGCATTTGGTCCTACTGGTACAACCAGCAGAGGTGGCAATATTAAATTCTCACATAATGCAGTGAGAAGGCAATGTCTGCATGAATTCCTGATGTAATCCACATGCCAACACTTTCAATACTGTTCTTATGGGAATTTTCAGCAATGGTTATGTGTTTGCAGAGTCCCCAGAGTTCATTAAATTTGTCATTGACTTCAGCTAGAGAGGAGGTTAAGAAAGAATCCCCTGTGTTAAAAGTCCATTTCATTACAAATGAATGAATATCTGATCATTGTTAGAGTCGGCGGAGTTTCTTTTCATTCTGGCCAACACATTTGTGTGTTTCAAACGCATTAAGTAAAAGTTTTGTGACTTTTCTATATTAGAAAATAACAGTAAAAACATAAAGTAAGCAGTAAACTACTTATATTGGATAAGTCCTTGAGATAAAAACTGTAAACCCACTACAGTCTGGATGAACAAAGGCTAAAGAAAATGGTTTCTTGTACCTCACATGTACTTCAGCAAAAGTTAAATCCATGCCGATGTTAATAAATAAATAAATAAATCAGCTTTAGAATAATGACACTTAAAATGGCTCATCTTAAAAATGAAGGATGTCTTACATTCTATGTTACATTTCTAAGAGTTTATAAGTAACATTCACTTCTGGTTGTTCCTAGCATTAGCATTACCAAGATGCAGGCAGTAATTTAGGAATTTCAAGGCAATATTTTCCACCTTGCATATGCAAAGAGTTAACATTTATTAAAATTATTAGCATGTCCTTTTCATTAAAGGATCACAAATTGCTTTAGGTAAAATCCATATACAGTATTTACACTCAACAGCTATACAAATTACATGCATATTTAAATCCTCAGGAGCCTGGTATGTGTTTAGCTGACTCGGTGTCCATGCAATCCTCTCCGAACCAAGCTGGTGCATGGCCAGGGCTGTTTTCAGAAGTTCAGTCCCCTCTTGCTCTGCCGCCAGCCCTCCAATTTTGCAAATACCCAGCTTTCCATCCTTAAAGCTCCAAGTCACTGCATATGCTGGATTCAAAGTTCATGAATGCTGGCTTGCCCCTGTGCTTCCTCCAGCTTCTAGAACAAACCTGGAAGGTCAGACCAGCCCCTTTGATGCTGTGAATTCTGGTGATGCCATCTGAGGGCTGTGTGAGAGGTTTGTCTTCTAGTTCCCAAAAAGCTTCAAGAAGCTGAGAAGTCAGCCAGACATTCCCTGTCTTTCACTGGTCTGTTTAGAGGGTGCTACTAAAGAAGACTTGTTTTGGTTTTAATCATCTGTCCTGCTTATTGTGATTGTTTGCCCTCCTGCCCTGTGCAGTTTGGCATAGGGATGTTGTCCACAATACTCTTTGCTGCCCAAAGTCAATCTCCCAGTGTGACGCCAGCTGGCATAGTAATGAACCCGCCGCTGTGAAAAACTAGGTCGTTCCTTACAGTGTGTTTTGCCAGTTCTGAATTGAGCGCTTTGCGTGTTCAGAGTAACTGCGTGCACATCACTAATCACTAGAGCTGCTTTTGATAATATCGGAGCTTTGATCTTAACACTCCTCATGAAAATTGCATAGTGGTACATCTCATCAGAAACACATTTAAGCTGCCTGGGTGTGAGAAGGGTCCAGGTTCATACGTTGAGGATCCGTGATGGTGCCTGGAAAACAGCAGAAGGATTGGGGGAGAACCTGGTCTTCACCTCTGGGATCTAGTGGGGTGAGGGGGGAAGAAAAACATTAGTATGACATGGTGCAACTGTCCAGAGAGCTTGAGGGGTCTTGAGCCTTGTGCCAATCTGCAAGACAAAGAGCTGCCCTCTTCACAAATCCCCCCTGACACGTACTCGACTAGCATCATGACAAATTCACTGCTGGACTGGTGCTGGATTAAAGTGAGGGGAGTTTTAGTGACGTGTGTCCAGCCCCTTAGCTTTTTGGAGACTGCCATCATGGTTCTGTCAAAGTGCTCCAGTGCAGTGCTCTAAGGAGCCACAACCCCACTGTGCTGTGAGCAGACCTAGCACAGACCTGGAGTACCTGGCAGAGAAAGGGAGAAAACTGGGAGGCTACTGGCTGTGCTAGTCTGTGAAACTACAGTTCTAGCAGGGATATAAACTCCTCAGCTCTGAAAGAAATGCGGAGATAACAGAAATGATCAGAACTCTCATGTCTGTGGAGTCAGATTTTCACCCAATATGCAGCTGTTGAACTGATGTATGAAGTCGGTTGTACTGAAGCACAGCTGGGTGCTTTGTGTCCTTCCTAATGGTTAAAACCCAAGAGATTTGAAACAGGACTGGTCCTAGGTGTGCATTCAGCCCAGGACACTGAGTGAATCTGGCCATAAAACGTAACAGGGGTGGGAAGCTTGGCTGGGTACTGGGGTTTTGATAGCACCATCCAAGCAAAAAAGAAGAGTGAGGCCCCAGGGAAAAAGTATAGGAAAAAAGCTATAGATCTGTTTGTTGTTGCATTGTTCTGTGCTTTCCATCCCTCTGGGGATGCATCTGACATGCTAAGGAGCAAGAGGAATGTCCAAAATGACCTGTCCACAGCTCAGCAGCAGGGTACAACCTGCAGTCTAAGTCCTACAGGCAAGCTGTCACAACACGATGTAAAGCTGATGCTCATGTGCCCAGTGAAACCAATGGGCTTCAGGCAAGAGGTAATGTCTGAGTGGCTATGTGTAAACCAGGGCGAGTCCCATTTCTGTTTGAACTGGTGTCTCTTCGGCACCTTGTCCGTTCCTTGCCTGTGCTGGCTGTGCCAGAGGGGTTGCAGTGGCACCCACAAGCTCCAAGAACCAAGGCCTCTGCATGGTCCAAGGCACAGTGTCCTCGGTGCTGTGTTTTGATGTCTGGGATTCCAGTTTCCTCTTTCCCTTCCTCGGGAAGTGGGAGCAAGACTCTGAGAGTACTTCTAGGAGCAGCTCCTTTGGATCCTGCCCGCCAGGTTGGAAGCACAGGAGGGCAGTGTGTCTTCACACAGTGCTGTGCCCTTGGCCAGCCGTGTTCTACCCCAGGGCAGTACTGCCTGATGTGTGTCTCCCACTCCTCCCCTCCCCTCAGCTCTTTTTCCCTTCTCCTCCTGCAGGGGCACATGTCTCAGGGTGCCTGAACCCAAGGCACTGTCTTTTGCCCCTCCAGGGCCAAAATACATACCCTGAAATACGAGGGCCAAAATACAAGGTTTAAGGGTTAACCACCCTTCTGGCCTCGTTGCTGCAGCTCAGTGAGCAGCCCAGCCTCGTCAGAGCGAGGAGGAAGCTTTGGTGAGCTCTGCAAATTCTCTCTTTCGCCTGAGGTGCCTGTCCCACTTTCAGTGGAGCTGGATATACCCATCGGGTGCCTCGTTGCAGCAGCACGCCGGCAATCCTATGCGGAGGAGGTACTTTGCTGTCTGCTGATTAAACATTTCTTCCTCGTCTCCTCCAAGGCAAAGATTTACTTTTTACATGTGGCCCTGGAGGATCTGCTGCCGTCTGACGGTACCGCACGCTGCGCTGGGGAGCTCAGCCCCGGCTCTGCTCCCTGAGCCGCTTGCTGCAGCCTGTGCTTGCCTTTGGCCACAGGCTGCGAAGCGCCCTTCTCCATGGCGGTGTCAGGCAAGCAGCTGCTAGCTAGAGCAGAGGATGTGAAATGGGCCTTACGCAGAGTGAGGCAATATATCTACATCTACACAACACACCCAATTGTGGGAATGGCAATTCCTGGACTTCCTGGCTTTCAGGCAATTTAAAATCTTGGTCTCGGGCTGAATTACGACATGGTATTGCTTCCTCTAGCATGGTTTTCTGAAAGCAAAGGGTTGCCGCAGTCAGACAGGACACGGCGATACTCTACACACACCACACCGGTAACAAATGAGGAGTTCCTGATGCGTACCTTGGGTTTTAGCCCAACTGACTTTGGGATTTAAAAAAAATAATGTTTTTTACCTTAAAATCTGCCTTGTAACTTGTCTCTTGAACAAAATGGTCTTCTGGGATAATGAAGCCTTGCTTTGTCTTTATAGGCTTGGATGGTTTTGCTCCAGTCCAAGGGCGATACTCTTGCCTGAAATGAGATTGTCAAGACAAAAGAACCCATAAACCACAACATACTCACAGGGTACCTCTGCTCAGAGTGGTTGCAAACCCAGAAGGCAAGTCGGGTTACAATCAGCTTACGATATTGAACTTAGATAAGGCAATCTGGGAACAAAAGAACTTAGCCTAGAGGCCTGACTTCCTCAAAAAGCCCAAACTGAAAGATGCATTAGGGCATAGACCCGTCTACCTGGCTGCCCTGGCTTCTCTCTTTTATCCTTGGCAACACATGTATCTGCTGTGTCTTGGAGGTGCTCGGTGCTTTCTTCCTGAATAAGAAAATGTCAGGGTAACTTTTTGCTTGCTAGCATTCACTGACTCATTGGTCACTTGCAGTGTAAACCATCTTGGTTTGGGGATCCGGGAGTGCCATCTGCGTGTGCACAGAGGGAGGCCACCTGCTGATGTTGCCTTCCTTTAGCTCTCTTGACACCAGGAATGTTTGCCAGTGTGTTCTGTATTGTTGCACTTCAGTAGCAATGTAGGCTGAAATGCATCTGAAGGGAGACAACATCACGCTTGCCAGATGCTTCAGGTAGTGATTTCCTTCAAACAGGGGCAACTGCTTTGACTCTGCACAATAATGAATGAGAATAAGGCGCTTGGGTACCTTGTCATTGGAGCTGTGGCATCTGTGGAACGGGTACAGAGACTGCACGCTTGGAAAGAGGCGTATGTTTTAAGAGCACTGAAGAACATGCAGCTTCCCTCTGCTTTTTGGCTCGTCACAGCCAGCCTTCACTAATGCCTTCCTCGTTAGGACTTCTTAGATGCTGCAGTAGCAGGCAGCTGACCTGGCTTGTGTGCTTGCAGAGAAGAACAGGCCAAGTCTGCTCTCTCTGCATATGCAGCTCTGACAACCAGTTTAGGCAGCTTCTGTAGCAAAAGAGAGGAGGCTAACTAAGCTGTGACAAGTTGATGTTCACACGCTGGTATACCCCAGATAATAACCGCACTTAACTGCACTTCACTTGATGGTTGTAGATAGGATCCTGAGTCATGACCCTGGCACAAGTCCTAAGCTATGTCCAGGCTAGAAAAATCGGCTTTGTTGGTAACATGCTGAGCCTAGCTTTGACCACAGCCCTTCTAATTTTCATTTTTTTCCCAAGCGTGCTATTTGCTATTTTGATAGTGGCTGCAAACTCCTCTTTAAAAAATCTTATTTAAAGTATATAAGTATGGGGTAGTAGTTTAGCATGTGTAGTTTGATTCTGATCTTTTTAATATATTGCTGGAATACACACTGCCTGGATTGTGCTTGAGTTCTAAATGCAGTTTCAACCTTAAAATGCTGCCTCTCTTGTTGGTTGATGTGTAGACGTGGGGTACAACCCTGGAGCACACCTAACCTAGAGACAACCCTGCAAACTAACAAAGTTAATTCTGAAGAGTTGTTGCTATTCATTTCCTGCCTGCGCTGCCCTCCTGGAGCCCACAGTCGGGGCTGGCATCAGCTCGTGTACTGGCAGGGGGAGTTCTTAAATGCACTCAGAGTTAGTGACAGATGTTGCCCTACAGGAGAGCTTCCCACTCCTGGGAAAGCACAACCAGGCCCTGCAAATCTTGTATGTAATCAGTTTGTTCCTGCTGTTCTGAGCTGCCACCTCTTGCCTTCTCAGCGTCTGGCTTTTCAGGCTATCTCAGGCAGCAGGTAAGTGCCTGCATGGTTCTCCTGGTAGCAGTGGTGCAATCCCTGAGGCTTTAGCACCTCCAGGTAAGAAAACACCTCTGCAGAAAGGTGATTTTGGCCAACTGGTGCCCCAGGAAGGCAACCTTTCAGCAGGGAATCCCAGACAAGTGTGAATGCTGAGCTAAATCCAGCTCTGCTCTGCTGTACAGCCAGAGGGAAGATGCTGGCTGGGCAAACTACCAGCAAGATGGTACAAAGCCATCAATTACATGCCAGCAGTTCCCAGCCACTTGAGCCTGCTATCCCCCAGAAAGCCCCAAGGATGCTGATGGCATCGCTTCTGAACCACTCATTCTTGCCACAGCTGGCCCCCCTGCTGCACTGCCCTGCAGGGGAGCGTGTCCCCAGCTTTCAGGGAACAACTGGAACCACTGTGTGCAGCCAGCTCTGGCTCACTGCTCTGCAGCAGATCATTTGCTGATTTGGCAGGCCCCCAACCCCAGTTATTTTGGATCGCAGGACCTTCATTTTGGCCGGAAGCCAAGTTGTTCTCCTCACAGCCTGGAGAGACAGAATGGCTTCTGAGGTACCCACATGCAGGAGGTGCCTTGTCCAAGATCCCATAAATTGCAGTTACTTGCAAGAGAACAATGTCACGGGAGGGGGAATTACAGGAATGATGTGGAGTTGGGGAGAACCCCACATGGTCTGACAGCCAGCTGCTGCTGGGGATGAACTGAGCCACTGCCTGCTGCTGGAGGTGGTCATCTTCATCCTTCCTGCACTACCCCTCTACCTTCTCTCCAGACAGCAGCTCTCAGTTTACTTTGGGGTGCTCAAAGCAGCACTGGGACAGTGACTGTTCTGCTACCCTAGGTGTTAAAAGGTGTTCCCAGACAGAGCCCCAAGAAAGGAGCACTTGTGGTGGGATGAGAGGATGGGCAGCTGCCGTCCTCTTAGCAGAAAGCTGTGGGAGGGGGGCTGAGGGCAGGCCTTGGGGCTTGGTTTCTGCCTTTTCCCATTTCCCCTTCTTTCTCCTTTTCATCTAATGTCGGTTTGAGTGCACTTTGACTGGAGGAAATTCCTCCGAACTTTATGCAACAGCTTTGAATCTTCCCCGTTTCAGTTCTGCAGCCTGCTTGGCAGCACAGCCAGCTTCTGCGCCTTTCCACCCGCCTCGTGCTCTCCTCCCACGGCCCCGTCCCCCTTCCCCCATCCAGGCTCTGCAGAGCACGTCGCTCTGGATCTATCCCAGTGCATGCACCAAGCAAGCTTACTTCTTAAGTACCATAAAAATCGGGGCTTCAGTATTAATTTCCCCAAGCAGCAAGATGCTTAAGAATGTAAAGATAACATTAAGCCTTGATTACAGAAGATTTACTCCTATTATGAAGGATAAGCGTGTGTTTAAATATCTTGCTGGATCACGGATGAAGCTTCTTGCACACAGTACTCCTAACCCTGCCAGCTCACGTGTGCTCTGAACTTCAGTGCAGGTATTTTTTTTCTTTCTGCACCTCTGAAATAAAATGCTTCTCACTGGGCAGCAGTGACTGCAGCTCACCTTGGCCTTCTGTGGGAGCAGTAGTTGAAGGCAGGCAGGCAGTACAGGCAGCAAAGTGACGTGCTCTGAGACTGCATCTGTAGCAAGGGGGAAGAAGGATCGTTCCCCCTCGTTCTGTGGTATCTCCTCTGGCGGGGAGATCCTTGCTCTGTGATCACAGTGCTGAGCACATGCACAGGAAGGTGGGAGCTCAGCTCACCAAGGGATCTCCCACCCTGCTGTTTCCAAAACTGTTCGTGAGGGCACCCCAGGCCTTCACCCCTGAGCAAGCCCAGCGCTTCATACGTTTTCTTTTCCTCAAAGCACCAGACCAGAATTGCTCAGTCCCTGCGAGCAGGAAGCCCTGCTGATTTCAAGGCCTCCAGTTTGGGCTGCTTTGCTGCAGCGCCTCCACACCCACACACAAGCCGGGTGCTCTCAGCCCTCACCCCCACCCAACCCACTGATGGTGCTGGAACACCAGCTTCAGCGATGAGGCGCTGCTGGGGGCTGGCACTGGGCGTGTGTGCAGAAACTCAGAGCTGTCCTCCCCCTTCCCTGAGCGCAAATCCAAGAAAAGCTGACGGCTGGGGGAAGAGACAAAACAGTCACAGCTCTGGATGCATTTGAAACGCTTTCCCAAGGCTGGCAGGTTACGGAAGGGGAAGCCGAGTAACTCAAACACATACAGCTGAGCCTCAACCAGGGCTCTCCTCTCAGCAGGACTAGGACCAGCTCCAGCAGACCAATCGTGCCCATGTCCCATTGCCTTCCATCAAGGCAAAAACGGGTGCTGCCCAGCAAACAGGACCTGCTGGAGATGTGTTGCTGATAGGACTAGCTTCTCTCATCCACTGAAGCAAGGAGCTAAGTAAGCCCCTCATCCAGGGCCTAGTGCTACAATTAATGGCACTCAAGTCTCTGCTGTGTCAGAATTACATAGCACCTGTGCCTCACTGCTGAATGACAGGAGCCCCTTCCATGACCCCAAAGGAGGTGGGGGGGGCTCAGTGCTTCCTTCTGCCTCCTCCTGATGCAATAATCTACTGCAACCCTCTGCAGCAGTTCCCGGGATCTTTTTGCAGTTGGAGCACATCCCATTTTAGCCTTTCAAGTGCAGCTTCTATCAATCCACCTTGGTCTGTGTGCCTGAGCTCCCCCTGTGGAGCCCGGTGTGGCTTTGACTTCAGTCGGAGCCTGCAGAGCTCCAGCTATAAAATCCACGCAGAGACCCGAGGACACAGGGCAGTGTTCTGGAGAGTGGGCTGCCATGTGCTCTCCTACCCTTTGTGCTGAGTTGTTAGTTCATAATTAAAAATTTGCCTCCTCAAAGAGAGGAAGGCATTTTTCCAATGCTCCCTCTACATTTATCTTTCATTTGGCCCTGGAAAGACTCCTCCAAAGTCCCAAGGAATGGGACTGCTCTTTTGGGCTTAGTCACTGATGTTCTGCTAAATGTCAGTCTGCCTGGCTGCACCATGTGCAAGGAAACAGCTGGTTTTGTATGCAGCTGGGTTTCCTTCTGTGCTTAAAAAAAGAGTGCAGAGAGAAAGATGGAGCAGGAATGTACAGAAGGAAAGTCTCACCGAAGGATTGAACTGATGCACTGATGGTGCTGGGGATTCCCAGCTATGCTTGTACGCTCCACGAGAACAAACGTGCACTGGGGGGTTGTAGAAACATGCCGCCAAAACCCCCAAATTAAAAATAATCAAACAAGAACCCCAAACACAAAAAACCCATCAGTTTACTGAATTAAACAAAGAAATGCTAATGCCCTTAAAAGCTTGGAGTGGACCAGGTCCCAATGCCAACTTTCTGCACTTTTGAAACCAGTCCTTCCCTTAGGAGCTCATCTCTTTAACATGAAACAAACCCAGCTGGGGCTTGTTTTGCCCACCCTTGTGATGACCCAGCTGAACTACCTGCAGCACATATAAATCAAACGGCCACCTGTCCTGAGTGGCCACAGCTGGTCCACACACAGAGACTGCTCCTTAGGGCTGCCTGGAGCCACAGACAGCAACAGTAGGAAAAGGGGAATTTACACCATGGTCCTCCCTCAAAAGGAAATGAAGGCACACCCCAAAATGTGTGCACTTTCCACATTTGCTCCCCATGTTATTTTATTTTTTTTTTTTGAGTGTGACTGAGGAGCTGCTGCGTGCACAAGGGGGGTCCCTTTGGCCTTCACCAGAGGGGAAGATAAGGAGCACCAACACTGAACAGCGCTGTGCAGCTGCTGCCTGCAGGTAAGTGTTTGCGCACTGTGCTGCTGCCTTTGGAAGACAATAAGGTGCAGAGGAAAAGTGGCCTGCTCTGTGCTTGGTGAAGGTGGCCTTGTGGTTGTGCAGCCTGAAAACAGTGCACGTGCTGCGGACAGCCGTGCCCCAAGTGGACCTGGAAATGGGAAAATGGCAGCCAGGCACCAAGTGCTCCCCTCCTGCTCAGTCTCCCTTGAAAAAGGAAAAGCAATGATGCATGAGAAGATATTTTCACAGCTTGCGAGGCTGTTGTGGGCTTCTCTCTTGCTGTTGGTTGTGGCTCCTGTGATGCACCGAGGGTGCAGTCAGTTGTTGTCAGTGGTATGGGGATTTCTTACACTTACAGTATTGCACTAGGTGGTACTTCAACAAAACTGTGGGAAATACTGGGAATGATAAACCACAAATGTGGTTTGACTTGCATAGGGCCTGTCTGCAGGTAGCCTTCAGGCAGCTTAAACGTGGCTCATGGAGAGCCCTGCTCGTGCCTCAGCCTGCACTGCTCTGCTGGGGTGGGTTCCTTGGCTACCTGCAAGCCTTACTTTTTGTACAATTTCTGTTGTGATTTGCTCCCTGGTATCTCATGCAGCCAGCATTGTCCTGTGATCTGCAGACTTTCCCCTCTTATGACATAGGGAGCCCTGGGTAGGAATAGCCGAGCTGGGGAGGAAAGGCGTGCAAAGTGGCTGGGCAGGGAGGCTGTGGCTCAGATGTGCTCTGCATGGGGGGTGTTTGAGCAACAATTTGGAGCCGGCTGCGTTTCTGAAAGCTGAATCTGGCTGCTGGTGCGTTAGAAAGGCTTCCTTGACACGGTAATTCCTGCACTGCTTTGAAATCTCAAAGTGCTCTTCAGGACCAGCTCTGTGACCGCTCAGAGGGATGCAGCAGCGGCGAGGCAGGGCGAGCAGTGGCTGCGCCTTCTCCAGCCGGTGCCGACCACGAGTGCCGGGGCGCAGGACCGGGGCTGCGCTCCTGCAGGGCACCGCGCTGCGAAATGTCACAGACTGCAATTAGCAGGGGAAGGAAGCGCTGCACGGCTACCCGAGGCACAACCAGCGACTGAACACTTGTGGCTCTGTTAGGAGGAGATGAATTCCTCCCTTAATCCCTCTCGCAGCACACCACGGTCCCCGCGCCCCGCCAGGAGGAGACGGGTGGTGCGGAGGAGCCGCAGCCCGAGCCCCGCACCTCCCGCCCGGCCCCGCCGCTCGCTCGGGGACCGGGGGGGGGCTGCGGCGGGGCTGAGTCCCTGGGGCTCTCTGGAAGCCGGCGCCCCCCGCCCCGAGCCGCCCGTTACCTGTAGGACGTGGTGTGGCCGCCGGCTGGAGGCGAGCGGGGCCGGAGCTGCTCGGGGCCGCCGGGGCCGGGCAGGGGGCAGGCGGCGCGGCTCGGGGCGGCCGCGGGCACGGCGGGGGGCTCGGCCCCGGCCCTGCCGCCGCCCCAGGGGAAGGGTGCCCGCCTCGGGAGCGGCCAGGCTCGGAAATCCCGGCGGTACTGAGTCTCCGCCGCCGGGGGCTCCCCTGCAGGGCCCTTCTTGCGCCCCCCCGGCCGGTCGGGGGCGGCCCGCGGGCGGGGGGCTGCGGGCGGGCGGCGGCACCCCCGGGGCGGGGGGGAAGCGCCTCCGCTCTCGGGTCCCCCGGTCGCCTCGTCGGGCTCGTCGATGGCCGAGTAGTTGTGGATGGTGAGCGGCACGGAGAGGTCCGACTTGTCCAGCTGGCTCCAGAAGCGCGCCAGGCAGCACACCCGGCTGATGCAGGGCCAGGCCATGGCCGCGGCGCCCGCAGCCGGCTCCGGTCCTCATCGGCGGCTCCTCCTCCTCCTCCTCCTACTCCCGTCCTCCCCCCCCGCCGCCCCTTCCCCGCTCCGGGGCTCGGTGCGAGTCCCCGGCAGAGCGGCTCGGCTCCGCTTCGGAGGCGCTCCCTGCTGCCCCAAAGCCGAGCCCCCCCTCGGGCGTGCTGCTGCGGGCGCGATCCGCGGATGGCAGCGCTTGCTGGGGACCGGAGCTTGCAGGTTTTCTTTGGGGGCTCAAACCAAAGGGTCCCGGTGCCGATCGCTGACGCCCACAGGATTACGCTGGGGATAAATCTGGCTTTTGAAATTGGACATCTTATGTAAGAAGTGGCTGCGGGCCATGATGCTCCTCCGCAATTCCCCGTTCGGTGTGTTAGGGAGGACTCCGAATCTCCTGGCAGGTCTCTGAGCTGTGAAATACGGAGCTGTAAAAGTGAGGCATAAGCAGACTCCACCTATTAGAAAACCATCTATTTAAAAGCTAGTGGGTACCTCATTTTAGAAAGTAATCTAGTTACAGATGGGTGGTTACCTGGTAAAACTAAAAAACAAAGTAATTGCGCAGTGAAACTCAGAAGGCTGAGATCTACTGCTCTCCTTCAGCTAAACCATTGAACCTGTGGTGCATTAGCACCTCGAACTTAGGTGATGTTGCGACCTGATTCCGGTGAGGAAGGGCAGACCTGGCTATGGGCTATGACCAGACCTCTCCTTGAGTGCCCGGCCTCCCTGTGAAACAGCTATTTGGATGGATAAACATCCATTACAGATAATCATGTTGTCCAAAAAATACGATTTGACACTTGCTGGTGCTACTAGCTGTTTAAATTATTTGTTTTTATATGTGTCAGGGCAAGGAGATTCAGAAATTTAAGATAAAAATTTTGGTCCCATGGAGAAATCCTGCCTAAATATGTGGGATATCAGATGCTCAGTTTCACTTGTTGCCCCCAAACTCCAGACAGTACCCTAGTTTAGGGTACTCTAAGTGGGGAGCCACTTAATTTTCTGGTGCTCTTTATTTTTTTCTATAACTGTTCTGCTCTATGTAGTAATTTTTCCCAAATACCATTTATTTTTAACATTTAGACACTTTATCCTGGTCAAGAAAAATGTTTTCACAGTCTGGGCGAAGACAGAACATTCATTTGATTGTGTTATTACTGGCAAAGTACAAATGGTGCTCTGATCCTTGTTCTTAGGCCTGATTGAGCAAAATACATCAAGGAATAAATGGGATGTCTCCGCTGCCACTGTGCCTGCCGCTTCCTAGTACTGCTCTGGCACTGCACATCTCAGAGTCCACCTACAGCATCGGGGAGGGCTTTGAGTAGCTGCTCACGCCAGCGTACAGGATGAGGTTGGTGCAAGGGGGTATCTCAGACAGGGAAACCAGGAGGAACTGGATGAGATTAAAAAGTAGGCTGCATTTAGAAGAGATTTATCATGATTAAAGGGGGAACATGTGGGGGGGGAGGATACTGCAACAGTAAGACAAAGGCAAGCCTGTAAATCATAAAGCAAAACAGCTTTTACTGTCAGGGATGGGGACTGAAAGCTCAGCCAGCCTGTTCTAATGCTAAACTGAAATTTCAGGAGATCTGATCAGTACTCTGGAGCAAAATATTCCTTAAACATGGCAGGGACACACTACTTTCTTAAAACCCTTGAAAAGGTGAACAATTGTGCTTATTCATGTTTAACCATGACTTTATACTTACAACTATTTCTCCCCCCCCAACACAAACACTAGCTGATGTCTCTGCCAAGCATCTGTGTAATTACCACATTGTGACTAAAGATACAATAATAGGCTCTTTGAAAAAGGGGAAAGAAGCCTTTCCGTGCTAGCATGTGCTTTTTTTTTTTTTTTTTTAATTGTTTGTGGTTTTGTTGGTGATAGTGGTGCTCTTGCATTCTTGTAACTTCTTTGCCATTCGAAGATATGACTGAATACTGAGATGCTGGCACATATTGATGCTAGGTCTTGGAAGAAGAGCATTTGTTTGCCAGAGAGGTATCTGCTGCAGTGAGCTGTTCTAACTCCAGGCCATTCCTCATCTGCCTGAACTGAGTACTGACTTGCCTATTGCAGTCTGAAAGTTGTTTTGGTCCAGAGAAGACCATTTAACTTTGGTAGACAAAAGTAGTGCTGCGTGAAGGCTGAGGTACAAGGTGACATGGAACTTGGTGCTTGGCCACATGAATGCTTTTGCACCACCTTGCTTGTGGAACTCCTAAAAGTATTCAACATTTGTGTGGAAAATTCAGATATTGACTAACCTTAGAAAGGTGAATGCTGCTAACCCTAAGCTTAAGGTAAACTAAATTCTGGCATGAAACCCCCTAACCATAAAACTAACCTGAAAGTGTCTTCTGAACATCTCTGGCCGTTCCAGGGTGCTTTTTTTCAGGAGCGTTGAGCCCCTGCAACTCTGAGAATCCAGCAGAAGTGCAGGCACTGCCTCTGAAGGATCAGCCTGAAATATCTCAGTACTAATCTGCAACCTTCCAGCAAGCTGGAAGGGTACAGCCATATCATGCTGCTCTCGCAGGTCTAACCGACCACAAGAGTAGGATTGCAGTCTGTGCCAGCGATACAGGGACATGATACAGGCAGTGACCAATATGGTAAAGAACTTAACTGTGATCTTGGCTTATCCTTCTAGGCAGATCACATCCTTCAGGCTTACACATCTCCTGCACTGTTACTCCTTGCTGCTTTCAGTCAGGATCTTTAAATACCATTCCTCAAATAAAGTGTTGCTGAAGAGACAAGAAGTTGTAGAGTAGACAAGATGAAGGTGGGAAATAAAAGAAAGTGGTCAAAGACACCACCTAAGTTTAAAGTATGAGCAAAACCAGCATGGAAAACACTGTGAGCTACAGCTTTTGAGCTGCTTTTGGCATGAAGCATTCCTTTGTGTCATAAGCCTCTTTAATGGCCATCTGCTGCTGCAGGCAGTGGCTCCTGCTGGAAGCAGTGCATCCTGCTGCACAGCTGGCTGCCCTCTGCTGTGTGCAGTACTGCACTGGGCCCGAGGCCCCAGAAACCAGCATGGTTAGCCCTGAGTATCAGAGAAGGAAGGAGAAAAGGAGGGAGAATGGAAAAGGATTAGAAACATGAAGCTGGAAAGCTTCTGGCATTGAACAAAAGGTACAGTAGGTACTCTTCCATTTTAAGCACTTAAGTAAACAGATAATTAAATGAGCAAATCAAAGTGTCTCATTTTCCAAGGGAGGAAAAAAATGCTTTAAGTTTTGATAAGTAAAGTGTCAGACTGAGCACTAGTCTGTGACAGTATGTGAGCTCACAGTGAGTTTGTACTCAATCACAACAGCTGGTGCTGTTCAGCACTGTTGTTTACACATGCAGAAAGTGTAATTTCTGTAATGCACTATGATTAATTTTTTTTTTTAAAGTGTAAACAAATAGACCTTAAAGATGCAGCATGTTCCTCAGCAGGTCAGTCCATCTGGAATGACTAATCTAACATACAGCATGGAGTTAAGGGTTTGTTTACCCTAGTTTGTATCTGGGCAGACTCCTCAGCCTCTTGCAAGGGACAGGCACAGAGTGGTAGCAGACCCAAGATTCAACTTGTGTTTTTATTTGTATAATTAGGAACATTGATCACAGTACTGTGGCCAATCTTAATTTAGCAGTGGTTTCTGATTACAGTATTATTGATCCGACTCCTCTATTTTTGTTGAAGCTGCTTATTTCTTTTTTAACAGCAGATTCTGAATCAAATGTTACTGTTCTGAAATTCTTACAAAAAAAAAACTTAAATCTACCAAGAGAGCACAACTTAAAGATTAATGAAGTAGAAGAGAGAGAAAGCAGTATAATTTAAGGTAAAAATGTTTAAAACCCTAGTGTAGGAAATTCTTCCACTCACACAATTACGAAAGAGATGAACAGATACCTTATTAGTGAAGTGTAACAAGATACAACAGCATCTTGGAAGCAGACAGACATTAAGACATTGAATAAGCTGAGGAATAAAGCTGGACCATTAACCAGGATGTAGGCTATGTCTACCTGTACAAACCTGACAGTATTGCTTCGTGTATTTCAAGTTTAGATCAGAGACCATTGTCTTGACTAACCCAATCTTTTTGATGATAAAGACCACTGAACTTCATCATAGTAGTATTATGCTGAGTCCGATTAGGCTATGTCTAAATCTAGACAAGCACCCAGTGTTGATTGGTGGACACCAGGGGATACGGATCTGTTAACTCCCTCAATTTTTCAAATAGGTACTTTGCTAAGTATTAACCAGCTATACTAAACTTACAGGTTGACAACTTTATTGGAAAGCTTTGTGCATCTTTTAAAAATATAACACAGGCTGCTACTGCAGGGAAATAGGATAAAAATCTTTATTGTTCCACCTTTGTCAGAGTTCATTTTCTATTGATACGCATTTCTGTAACTGTAGTTTATGTTAGGCCTCTAAGGAGCTGAGGTTTCTAATGTGGAGTAGCAAAAAAAAAAAAAACCAACCACCTTCAAAACCAATTCAATCCCAGGTCTTCAAGTAATATACCACTTGAGCACAAGGAACTTCCACGATTAGGGTTAATTAGGTCTTCCACCTCCTTTTCCTGTGTTCTTTGTCCTCATTTCATGCCAAGCTTTCACCAGAGGTTCTCTGTTTTTCCATATGAGCTCATGACCGTAAGTCACATACCACCTGAAAAAGAAAGTACTAGTTAAACTTAACTGCAACTTTTCTCAGCACCTGAGGAACAGACTGATCACTAAAGGCAGCTAGATGCTTGTAGTAGTAGACAAGGTTAAACTGAGGCACAAGTAACATTCTTGGAAAGCAGTGATGTTAGCTAAGCTACTTCTCTTGACTCCATTTAACTTTTATGTTCTTGCTTGTCTTGGTGCTGAGCATTAAAGGCATAAACACCTTCCAATTCAATGCTCTCATGAATTCTATTTAAAAAGATACAAAACCTACTTCCATTTAACACTTAAAACAGTACAGTTGCTTGTGCTAATCCTTACTACCCCCACCAGATAAAAGGTCTTTTTCTTGTATGTAAAAACAACAGAAACATAAACAGCCACACTCCTTTAAAGTGAATTTTCCACTATAAACAACTCAATGAAGAATTAATCTATTGAAGTGTTCTGAACCCATTTATACTGATTTTCATACAGTTTTGTATAAATATAAGTGATTAAGCAGGGGAGGGTTATGGAGGACAGAGGGAGAAGTGGAAGGGGAAGCAATAACATAAAAAGATATTGACAATTGTCTGTGAAGCAATGTATAGAAAACATGCAGTTCAATCTGGGAGCTAGTGGCCCTGTTTAAGGATGAAGTGGCCAAAATGATCACTGAGTAGAAAATATATGCACACACATATATGGAAGTTACTTGTAAAACTTGTCCTTACTGCATCTGCTATCATATTTTAATAATATACAAGTCCGTATTACAATGAGCAGCTGGTATAGCTGCAACAAGGCAGAAAGTAGCTACAAATTGGCAAGTCTACACCAACTGCCTCTGTGATGCCAGAGAAAGAGTGGAAAACAGGCTGTGCAGAGCAAAACTTACACTAAGTAAACAGCAAGCAAAGGCAAACCAGTCTGGAAACCAAAATTAGTACCTTCCAACTTCTAGAATATATCTTCCAGACTACTCACACTGTGTGAACAAACATTGTTAATCACCGTGCAGTCTGATCTCATGAAAAGATCAAAGGAACAGCATTCTGCAAATTTCCAAATGATCCTAGGTTCCTTGATAAGTTTGCTGCAGAATAAACTCACTGAGCACACTTCTGCATCAAGCTTTAAATTCATTTTTTTTTTATCTGTCCTAGTTAAAATTTGGGTAGGCTTTTAACCTATGTTTAAAAATGCTCTTAGCAATAAGTGTGCAAGTTAAGACAACAATCAGTGTGAAGAGGGGAAAAATTCATTAGGTAATACAGTTCAAACATGAACAATGCAGAACTGTTTGCTAGAAACTAGTTTCTAGTAGTTCTTCCCAATTAGGCTCCACAAAATGATGAAAGCAGCAACAGTGATAAATGACAGTAGAGGCTGT